TCTCCTTCTTGTTTTGGGCGGTGAAAATTGAAAAAAAATACAGAAATGCACACACTCCACTCACATGGCGCTCCCCTTTCTACTTCAATATTCCCAAATTATTAACTAATTTCAAGCTTGCGTACTCCACCTCCAGCTTCCCTCCCAATCTCATACACTTGTTTTCCAAGCCACCGATAACCGCCGCGTCCTTCGCCCGCATTTTTATGTTTGGTATATTAGAAGATTTTTTTTTATAAACGAATTTGACAAAGCATAAATTGGTTTTTTTTTTTTATATGTATGGTTTATATCAGTATATTTCTGGTATATTTTTGTTACATGATAAAAAAAAAAATTATCATAATTTTTTAGGTATAAAATCAGTATATTTTTTGTATATATTCGGTATATATACCAAAAATTGCATAAATTGATTGGTCTGAAATTTCGTTTAAATTAAGTAACCTATACAATATGTTTATAAAAGACAATATACACAGAAAATATATTGAAAATATAATAATTACAAGACGCTGAAAACATTCAATGAACTATAAAATAAAAAAAATAAAAAATAAAAAACTCAACATAAACCCAACATATACTGTGTAGTATATGCACAATATATTATTTTTTTATTTCTATGGTATATATTAAGTAATCTGTTATAATATATTTATAAATTATATATATACTTTTATATAAAAGTCAAATAATAAATAAATAAAAAATAAAAAGACTTATTATTTGATGGAAGATATGTTTTTAATTAGCAACATATACTGAATATATACCAACATAAACCCAACATATACCCATCAGGATAACACCCAGTCACCCACCTCTGCGTGAATTAGCATATACTGAATATATACCAACATAAACTCAACATATGCCACACCTCTGCACGAATTAGTATATACTGAATATATACCAACATAAACTCAACATATACCCACTGGGACAGCTCCAAGAATTACGAAATTAAATGAGCTAGTTAATTATTATATGCATGTTTTTCATTTCTCTCTCTTAATCAAGCCCATAAAAAGTGGGAGAGATATGGCAACGTGTCAGTTTTAAGAGAGGGGCTTAAATCATGGATTGAAAAAGTAAATGAGAGTTGACTTATTTGTAACTGATTTTTAGGGATTTATGTAGTATATTTTTACAAATTAGGTAAATGTACAATATATTACATATGGATGGTATTTTTGCAATATTTTTTATTTCTTGTAGGGAACTTAAAAATTTCCCTAAATAATATTCCACACAAAATTTGGGCCTTTATCACGGAAATATAGTATAGAATTTCCTCATTTTTTCAAATCTCTTTTTCGGCCTGCTAGCTCTGTATTTTTTTATTTTTTATT